CTAACCTACAGCTCCCTTGCTGCAGATTAAGTCCATTACTTCTTGTCCTACCTTCAGTGGACATGGAGAACAATTGATCACCATCCTCTTTATAACAGCCCTTAACATATTTAAAGACTGAGATCAGGTCCCCACTCAGTCTTTTCTCAAGACTAAACATGCCCAGTTTTTTTAACCTTCCCTCAGAAGTCAGGGTTTCTAAACCCTTTCTCATATTTGCTGCTCTCCTCTGGACTCTCTCCAATGTATCCATATCTTTTCTAAAGGGTGGTGCCCAGAATTGGACGCAGTACTGCAACTGAGGCTTCACCAGTGCCGCACAGAGCAGGACAATTACCTCCCGTATTCATGTCTTACACTCCTGTTACTCCACCCCAGAATGACATTAGCCTTTTTCACAGCTGCATCCCATTGTAGACTCAGTCCGTTTGTGACCCACTATAGCCCCCAGCTCCTTTTCAGCTGTGCTACCACCTCGCCAGTTATTCCCTGGTTTGTAGTTGTGCCTTTGAGTTTCCCTTCCTAAGCATAGCACTCTGCTTTACTGAACTTCATTTGGCTGGTTTCAGACCAATTCTCCAATTTGTCAAGGTCGGTTTAAATTCTAATCCTGGCCTCCAAAGTGCTTGCAACCCCTCCCAAGCTCGGTGTCATCTGCAGATTTTAGTCACACGCTCCACTCCACTCTGCAAGTCACTAATGAAAATATTAAACAGTACCAGACGCAGGACTGACCCCGGCAGGACTCCACTAGGTACGTCCTCCCAGTCTGACGGTGAACCATTGAGCACGGTCTTCCAGCCACTTGGGCATCCATCTAGACCACAGCTCCCTAGTTCGCTTATGAGAATGTGTCAAAAGCCTCACTATAGTTTCATTTAAGTCAAGATACATGTCTATTATTTCCCCCCACCCATCCACTAGACCAGTAAACCTTTGGCCTCTTGTTGTTAATATTTATTATTTCTCTTTTATTTCTGTATTTATTTCACTGGATCAGGTCTTTATTTAGCATCAGTTTGCACCTGTCTTGTTAATAGCATCGATTAAAGCATTGTTTTAGAATGGCCATTTAAATTGCGACCCGGCCCCGCAGATCTAGGACACTGCAGAAGACATGTAACCCGGGCCTAGTATTTTGGGGTCTTAGCATAAGTGGGATGATACCCACCTACATGGTCCACGGATAAAGACCAGAGGCCTGGTGCTGCTCTCAGTGACACAGGAGCAAGGCCTGATTCAAGTCAACGGACTCCTCTCGCGCTTAAGGTTACACACAGGCTTAGCTGCTTTGCTGGATCAGAGCCTAACGCCTACGAAATCAGCTGAGTTACATCAGTGCAAAACCGGTGCCAGTGAGCCGAGGCTCCGCTCCCCGTTTCTGAGGTTCTTCTGGCATCGGCCCGGTAATATATCAAATGCATTAGGAAACCGAATGCTTTCCCTTTGAGAGCTGCAAGGAAACCAGTGATGTCTGTTGAGGGGACAGAAGATGGCCACAAGGTCTATGATGGGGCAGAAGAAAGGATACGGGGTTCTGGGTATAAGGGAGTCCATCCCATTAACTGAGCCACGGGTCTTGGGATCAATTCGATTTCATCTACACAGGCATTGCATTCCAGCTTGACTTGCACGGCATGTTGATGGCAAACCGGGGGTTTCATAGAATCATAGAATATCAGGGTTGGAAGGGACCTCAGAAGGTGGGTGGGGTCAAGCTCCACGGATCCCTCCATCCCAGCTCCAGGGCGGGGTGGGGATGGTGCAACTTGTTTTTGTTCTGTTTCATTTGCCAGCCTAGGCTAGAACCGAAGACCGTCCAATTCTGGGCGAGGTGCACTGGCGGTGGGACCCTTGCAGCCTCGTTTCAGTGTGTGTGTTGGGGGGGGGACGGAGAGAGTTCAAACTCTTCCCCCCACCCCATGAAGGTATTCTGGGCTTCAAAGGTGCAATGATGGATGATGCTAGGCAGCGTACATGCATCATTGCTGGTAGATTATGCCATGGGCCTATCTTTTCCGCCTAAGTGATGCTGATAATATGGCACATTGCCTACTTACAGCATGTCCTTCCTACAATGTGAGTCCGTCCTGTGGGGTCAGAAATCCAAGAGGAAACTCTGCCAGCAGCCTTCAGGGGTAACACATGCATTGGTAGTAGAGTGCAAGGGTAGTTCATTTAATTACATACATCAGTGACAGCACAGGACAGAGGTCACCAAGGGAAAGCAGGATGACCAAGAGGCAAGGACATGGGCAGGAGAGTCAGGAGACCTGGTTCTAATTCTGGCTCTGCCACCAATTCACTGTCTAAATAGACAAGACAGAAAAATAGGGAGAGGTGAAACTGAGGCACAAAGTCTCAAAGGTCACCCAGGAGATTAATGGTAGAGGTAGGACTAGAACCCAGGTCTCCTGAGGCACATTCCAGTGCCTTGTCTACTGGACTGCTCAGACCTAGTGATGGAAGTAATCTGGCCCTACTCCAAAGCCCATTAAAATCAATGGACAGACCCAGTGACTTCAGCAGACTCTGGAGCAGCCCCTGTAGGCCCTGACTGACATTAACAGGAGCAGAATAAGGCTCTGGAAATGCTAAGCAATTATGGTTATTATCACTACCACCATCATCACCATCCCTGTCACAACACTAGTATAATGGACCATGGTATTCCACTAGAGGGTCCCTCCCAACCCAAGTAATTCCACCTTCCGCCAAGCTATGAAGGTACAAACCTATGGAGCAAGTGACTATCTTTAGGGACGCAAACAAGGTAGAAAATGTATGTACCCATTTTCCAGACATAACAGAGAGGGCCCATTCAGGACATGGAATTGGGGTGCCCATGTCATTTAAAATCAGCCTGCTCCATGCCCTGGTGCATATATTGTAGGAACCAAACCTGCAGAGGCAGACGGGGTTGGGTCTTTTCCAGCACAGATGTCCACGAGAACAAGGATTGTCCCCTGGGGACAGAAATAAGAGTATTTGGTTCTTAAGAGACCAATCCAAACTGGCATAATCTACTGGAGAATCGCCTTTCTACTGTTTCCTGTGGAAGTGCTCGCCCCTGTTAGATTAACTGTCTTGTCCTTTCTCTCACCAGTGTGTGGCCAGCCAGTTCGCCCTCTGCCCGGGATAATCAAGCGCATCATTGGAGGGCGGAACGCGGAGCCCGGCTTCTTCCCTTGGCAGGCCCTGATCGTGGTGGAGGACACGTCCAGGGTCCCCAACGACAAGTGGTTCGGCAGCGGGGCCCTCCTCTCTGACTCCTGGGTGCTGACGGCGGCTCACGTCCTCCGCTCCCAGCGCCGGGACAACACCATCATCCCAGTGTCCAAGGAGCACGTCACCGTCTACCTGGGCCTACATGACGTGAGGAACAAGAAGGATGCCGTCAACCGGACAGTGGAGGAGATCATCCTGCATGGGGGATTCGACATCCAGAACTACAACCACGACATCGCCCTGGTCAAGCTGAAGGAGAAGGTGACCATGGATGCCTACGTAATGCCTATCTGCCTGCCCCAGTTTGAGCACGAGCTGGAAGGGCCTCACCCCAACACCTTGGGCCTGGTGGCCGGCTGGGGCATCTCCAACCCCAACATCACCGTGGACGAGATCATCAGCTCAGGGATGAGGACGCTGTCCGACATCCTGCAGTACGTCAAGCTGCCGGTGGTGCTGCATGCCGAATGCAAGACCAGCTACGAGTCCCGCTCAGGCAACTACAGCGTGACCGAGAACATGTTCTGTGCCGGCTATTACGAAGGGGGGAAGGACACCTGCCTGGGAGACAGCGGAGGAGCCTTCGTCATTCAGGACCCCGGGACCCAGAGGTGGGTGGCCCAAGGCCTGGTCTCATGGGGTGGGCCAGAAGAGTGTGGAAGCAAGCAAGTGTATGGGGTGTACACCAAAGTGTCTAACTACGTGGACTGGGTAGAGGAGAAGATGGGATCCTCACACAGGTGGACATTCCTGGATCCTGAACTGAAGAGATGAGCTCGCCCCAGCCAGCAGGCACGACTCTGGTCTTCTGCAACCGGCAGCAGCAACTCTCAGTCCCCTCCAGCCTTATTTCACGGGGTTTGCTTGGCATCACGTTCCTTCATGTGCTGTCGTAGGAAACGTCCGCTCGGCCGCTCATGGGAAATGAGCTGATGGGCCTCGGCCAGGTTCCTTAGCGGGACAGGCATCCACCTCACCCAGAAGATACCACCACAACTACCTGGCCCCTGTGCCGGCGTCTCCGCAGAGGGGCCAAAGAATGGGTGGGGCTGTGGAGACTGACCTGCACCCTCACGCTTGCTGGGGGATGGTTCCTTCAGGTCAGGGTTGACGTACCCTCACGGGGGAAGCCGTGCCTGCCACTGCCTGACCCGCATCTCGCGCTGTGCAGAGAGGCCATCACACCCAGGGCTGTCAAGCCAGCACATTCCACCAGCTCTACACCCACTTCTGAAATTCCTCCGGGGCGGGGAGAGGCAGGAAAACCGACACAGGGCCCACAAAGCCCTTCACCCTGACTCTAGAGAAAGAGCTCACCTCCTTGGTAGCAATAACAGGGGAGGGGAGGGGGTTCTTGCTGATCAATTTATCCTGCTTTATCTTCAAACCAAACTCCTGCTGGGAGCTCCCTTCAGCACCAGGCAGTCGGCGGTGTCCTAACATCAGCCCGGAATAAAGGCCATGGTTCCACCAGGGCTTCTGGCTCGAACTGGCTGGGTCAAGGCACCAGAATCTGGAATCAGGCCCTTAACTGACAAGCATTTGGGGGTAGGGGGGTCACTGGCCCGAATTCAGAGTGAAACAAGATATCCCAGCTCTGTCCTCTGAGGCCAGGTCCTGATATCGTTTACACTGGTGTAGATCCAGAGTCACTCCACTGACTTCAACAACCCACTGGTTAGCAAGAAAGCCCCGGTGCACGCTTTCCCGGCTGTTCCCGCCTCTGTCTTCTCAGCTGGCTTTTCAGTGTGGACACACAGGAGCAAAGGGTGTGAAATCCATCCCGCTCCCTTCCATTGGTGCCCTAGGCTGGAGTCTGGGAGGAGGTTTCCTTGCTCCCTTTCCTAGTATAGCATCAGTAGTTCAGTGATGATAAGGATACACCCGTTCCACCTGTGCCATGAGACGCCTATAAGCACAGTACACGGAGGTGCAGCCATTGAGAGGCCTCTGTACTGTACTACGCCCAGGCTTTTCCGTCTTCCCCCTACAAAACGCAGACTGCCAAGCAACGGCCTGAGCTTATCCCAGATGGGGAGAGTCTGGGTGCATTTCATGGCACTTACTATGCATGACCCTTCCCCTGCTCTAGAGTTAAATGGGCCACATTGTCCCCGCTGAGCACGTCATGCTGGGACTTGCAGCACGTGCGATGGAGCTTAACACCATCAATGCCTGGTGAGAGGACGAACCCCTCTTGCTAGCAAACCCAGCTTGTTCCGAGAGCGAGATGGGCAGAGGATAAAGCAGAATAAAGCCAGGCAAAGGAGTGGGGCTTGCATCCACGCTACACACACACACACACACACACACAAACACACACACACACACACACTGTGCGGCTTGGCAGGCGTTTGCAATCCTTTCCTTGCACTTCATTTCCAGTGGGGTATGCCCCATGTGAGTTCTGCTTTGCGTTGGAGGGTTCCCAAAGCCAAATTGAGTCAAACCTCCCGTGGTTGCACATTGAAGCCACATAAAACTCCTGAGTTTGGATGGCTTCAGCACGACTCCATAAACTGACCCAGATTTGGGCAGAAGTCAGCCCCAGGCTCACTGGAGACTCATTTCTGGGTGTGGTGCATGTCACAGCTACCGGGCAAACGGCACTGCTGACCCCTCCTGGTCTCTCTGAGCGCCTCCCCCATCCTGAACCTCAGGCCTCGAGTCGTCAGCCGGCATAGGGTGGAATCACACAATTCTCCCTCTCTCAGACCGGGTCTGGGCTACACTCCCATTACGTTCAGCTCCTGCAATGGGCCGGGACGGTGGTACCCAGTGACCGGATGCCTCCTTAAAGCAAAGAATTGTTTATTTACCATTTCAGCGAAAGCGGCTTTTACAGACCAAAACAACACACTCCGTGCATGTCTAGCTCGCCATGCGGGTCGGTCTCCTCTGTGTGCTTGTGAACCCCCACGTACACTCCCATCGCGATGCCGGTTAGTAAAACGCGGAAAGGTAGCTGCTCTCCGATGGATACGTGCATGTCGCTTCTGCTGGGCCAAAACTTACCTATTCTGGCTTGTTTTTACTCAGACCCGGGGAGCTTTGCCTGGGTACGGGGTGAGCAAACACCGAGCTAGACCCTCAGGCTTTGACCCACAAACATTTAAGCAGTCGTATAGCAGCAAGAGGAGCAAGATCCTCCAGAGACCAAAGGAACGTGTCTATTGTACACACATGCTATGGCCTGTACTCCCGACTATGCCGCGTAGCTAGAAGATATTATATTTTTTGTACTCTATTCTGTCAGCTGTCGAACGCTGTGTATGGACAGTCTGTATCATTCTGACCGGGAAGGAAATAAAGCCCTGGTATGTACAAAGCATGTGTGCTGGCAATCCACTGTTCTAACCGGGAGACTGCAGCCTGAGTGAAGTTCATGGGACTGCCCCCTGCATTCACCCTGCTGTGCTGTGCTGCTCCCCTTCCACAACCTCGGGGCTTCTTCTTTCTGTGCATCCCCTCCCAATGCCCTGGCACCACTAGCGTTATCCTCTTCTTAATCCAATCACAAAAATAATGCATCAAAGCACGGGGAATAATGGGACGGGTGAGGCTCACCAACGCCCAACCCCTGCAGCCACGGGGAACTCGCCATATGTGGATACACCTATTTGATTCCAGCAGACAATCCCTGCTCCCAAAAGGAAGTGAAACATCCCTCCAGGGTCCTGCCCGTGTGCCCTTGGGTTGGGATTTCCTTCCTGACCCACGATCAGTTTAGCCCTGTGTGCATCAGTGGGATTCAACCTACTAATGACCAAGTGTCCTCTCCTTGCTGAAGACTGCAAATCGGGGAACGCGCTCCTCTGCATCGAGACCATCTGTGATGTGTCTTCGGGCAGAGAGGAAGGAGCAGAGGAACTCATATGAAACAAGCAAATACCTCCATAAAAACATCCTTCTAATAAAGGAGAGAGAGGGACTGTACAGTACACCTCTACCCCAATATAACGCGAACCAATATAACACGAATTCGGATATAACGCGGTAAAGCAGCGCTCCGGGGGGGCGGGGCTGCGCACTCCGGCGGATCAAAGCAAGCTCGATATAACGCGGTTTCACCTATAACGCGGTAAGATTTTTTGGCTCCCGAGGACAGCGTGATATTGGGATAGAGGTGTATCAAAACGGGGGATAACTAGAAGGCTGCTTTCAAAGTTTCCGAGTGGTTTGACAGCTTTCCATGCCGTGCCGACCCATCCCCAGCTGCTGGCATGCGCCGTGCCAATCCACCACCCCAGTCCTAGCTCTTTGAGTGCTGGTCCATCTTCCAGCATGGCTAATTCTTTGAGTGCAGTTCACCCCCCACAGTGCCAGGCCTTTGATTCCCATCCCCTCATCCCCAGTGAATAGTGCCGTCCTTTAGAAAGAGTAACCTACATAATTCAGAGTCATACCATGGGAGACCATGGACCATGCACATACTGGATTTATGATCAGTGCGACATTGCATGTGCTAGGCTATAAGAACATAAGAGTGGCCAGACTGGGTCAGACCAAAGGTCCATCTAGCCCAGTGTCCTGTCTTCTGACAGTGGCCAATGCCAGGTGCCTCGGAGGGAATGAACAGAACAGGGAATCACCAAGTGGTCCATCCCCTGTCGCCCATTCCCAGCTTCTGGCAAACAGAGGCAAGGGACATCATCCCTGCCCATCCTAACTAACAGCCATTGATGGGCCTATCCTCCATGAATTTATCTAGGGTCTGTGGGACCCGGGCTTGTGGACTCGGTGTTTCCAAGACTGGGTTTACAATCGCTGAACCTGGGTCTCCCAGCCGTGCTAACGTGTCTATACTGCACCATGCAGACCTTCTGACTCAGGTCTGCAGCTCAGCCTGCGTCCGCACTGCAGCATGACCAGCCGTCGACCTGAGTCACAGGTCTATGATAGAGCTATGAAGACCCTGGTTTACAGCGCCGTGGAAGACAAACTTTCCATGATTTACGAGCATCAGTCCCACTGACGTTCAGTGTTATTGGTGCTTCTAAGTCACTTGGTCACCTCTGGAACTCTCCCCGCCTACTGCTGTCGGCCGCCTTGGCAACTTGCCTGCATAAGAACTGAGCCAAGGGACTCGGGACTTGTCCCAAAGTGCAGCTACATTTTTAAAGAAAAACAATATCTCCGGAATACAGGCTGCAAAGTGAGTTGCTCCATGACCCTTTTCTCTCTGGAGGCCTGGGGTCACCATTGGTTGGGTCTCAGGTATGCTAAGGGGCCATATTTTGCTCCATGATAATCCAGTAACTCCCAGGTAACTCCATCACACTTACGCCGGATATATTTAGAGAAATGACATCGGATGCGGGGGAGGTGAACTGACGGGAAAGAGGTCTTGGGAACTGTTTAGAATTCAACAGGAGATGATTTCTTGTTGATGTCTTGTAGTAACATCTGACTAGGCCAAATCCTGAAGTCCTGATGCACTCTTCACTCCAGTTTTACTCAAATTCCCAATAAAACAGAGTAAACAACTGATCTGGGGATTTGCCTCCATCTGCGCTAGAAAACTTGGCGTCTCAGGTGGGTTTCGTGTGTGTCTCTCTTGTGTCTGACCTTACTCCTTGCGGTTTCAGTGTGTGGGAAGCCAAAGTTTTCCAGGAGTTGGCTGGCCCGGATTTCCAGTGGACACTATGCCAAGCGAGGAATATCTCCGTGGATCGCCATGCTGTATAGGGAAGGACAGCCCTTCTGTGGAGGCTCTCTGCTAGGTAAGAATCTCTTTGGTACTCGGCGTAATCTGAGATGAGACCACGGAGTGCATTGCAAAGCCATGAGTTAGACACTGAATGCTCAGTGACCGTGGAGGGCTATGAAGATGTCTCTACGTGCAATGGGTCCCATGCAACCTTGGAGAGCAGAGTTTGTTTTACCGGGAGAAGGAAATTCAGATCAGACACCAGGGTTCTCCACTCCTCTCTTCAGACACGACATAGGTGCCGGCTTCCTCCGAGCCGTGCTCAACCCCCCGCTCCACCCCAGGCCTTGCCCCCACCCGACCCCTTCCCCCAAGTCCCCACCCCCGTCCCACCTCTTCCCACCCCCGCTCCGCCCCAGGCCCTGCCCCCACCTCATAGTCCCGTCTCTTCGTGCCCTGCCCCTGCCCCGCCTATTTCCTGCCCAGTTCCACCCCCTCCTCCCAGCGTGCCCCATCCCCACTCCTCCCCCTCCCTCCCAGAGCCTCCAGCATGCCGCAAAACAGCTGATTGTGGCAGGCGGCAGGTGCTAGGAGGGAGGGGGAGGTGCTGATCGGCGGGGCAGCAAGCGGGCGGGAGGCACTGGTGGGGAGAAGGGGGAGCTGGCTGCCAGTGGGTGCTAAGCACCCACTAATTTTTTTCCGTGGGTGAAACACGACCTTTAACTTCCAACCAGGCAGCCAGCAGAGGGGACAATTTAATACCTTTTTCCAAAAATACCCCCTCGTGCTGCCCTGGGACAGAAACGGGGATGGTTTGGAGTCCACACGCAAGACATGAACCCACCAGTGACTGGCCCACTAGGCAAGAATACTGTTAAGTGAGCCATGCCCCTGGTGTCTGAGCACACGCACTGCTGGGGGATGGGCTATAAAGGAGATATAAGAACGTAAGAACGGCCATACTGGGTCAGGCCAAAGGTCCATCTAGCCCAGTATCCTGTCTGCCGACAGTGGCCGATGCCAGGTGCCCCAGAGGGAATGAACAGAACAGGGAATCAAGTGATCCATCCCCTGTCGCCCATTCCCAGCTTCTGGCAAACAGAGGGTAGGGACACCATCCCTGCCCATCCTGGCTAATAGCCATTGATGGACCTATCCTCCATGAACTTATCTAGTTCTTTTTTGAACCCTGTTATAGTCTTGGCCTTCACAATGTCCTCTGGCAAGGAGTTCCACAGGTTGACTGTGCGCTGTGTGAAAATAATACTACTTTTAAAGCAAAGATATGCTCTGCTTTAAACCTATGCTGCGGGGCTCGATCCTGCATAGCACGGTCACTCCTGCGGGGAGGCCTAGGAGGGGAATGAGCACCTCCAAGCTGCATTAGCAGGCTGAGGCCCAAGTGTCAGACCGTGTCAGATATGCCTGGTCCCTGCGCAGACCTTGCACTCTTGCATGCCAAGGCCTGG